GATTTCCTGTTTTTTTTTGGTGTGTTTGTCAAACTTAAATGTTTCAGATCATCAAACAAATGTAAATATTATACAAATATAACGCAAATAAACAAAAAATGCAGTTTCTAAATTAAGCTGTTTGTTATTTAGGCAAAAAATCTAAACCTACATGGCCCTGTGTGAGAGCCATTATCTACAAATGGTGAAAACGTGGAACAGTACCCTAAGAGCACAAGGACGACTCATCCAAGACTTTAAAAAGACCCCAGAACAACATCCAAAGAACTGCAGGCCTCACTTGGCTGAGTTATGGTCAGGTGTTCGTGACTCTTCAATAAGAAAGAGACTGGGCAAAAATGACCTACAAGGCCAAGTTCCAAGACGAAAACCACTGCTGAGCAAAAGGAACATAATGGCTCAACTCAGTTTTGGGAGAAAACATCTTGATGATCCCCAAGACTTTTGGGAAGATGCTCTGTGGACTGACAAGACAAAATTTGAACATTTTGGGACATGTGTGTCCCATTATATCTAGTGTAAAAGTAACACCACATTTCAGAAAAAGCAGAAAAGGAGACTGTCGGGCCATCTGCTTCTGACCTCAAGCACACTTTGGTTCTGCAGCAGGACAACGATCCAAAAAACACCACCAGAAATGACCTTCGGAGGGGCCTAGAATTCGATTGATATGCTGTGGCATGACCTTAAAAAGGTGGTTCATGCTCGAAAACTCTCCAATGTGGCTGAATTACAACAATTCTGCAAAGATGATTCTGCCAGAATTCCTCCATAGTGCTGTAAACTCAGTTATTGCAAACGCTTGATTGCAGTTGTTGCTGCTAAGGGTGGGCCAACCAGTTATTAGGTTTAGGGGCCATTTACTTTTTCACACAGGGTCATTTTTTCCCTTAATAATAAAGGCTTTCATTTAAAAACAAGATTTTGTGTTAACTTGTGTTATCTTTGTCTAATATTTACATTTGTTTGATGATCTGAAACACTTAAGTGTGACAAACAGAAAAAAAGAGGAAAATCGGGAATGGGGCACCACTGTATATCACTATTGAATGAGTTCATTCTTCATGTGCTGCAGGCTGCGGTGGCTGCCAGGGGCAGCTTGGTGGTACTTACTCAGTAACAAGAAAAAAACTGACATCCCAAGGCCCACTTACACTGTCAACACATCCCTTTTTTTTATTGTTGCTGTGATGCGTTCATGGTGCAGAAGTAAATTTGAAGTTGTGGTACTTAGCAACTGGGTAGCTGCTGAAGTAAGCATAACAGAGTAACATTTTGCAGGTAGTTTTTAGGCAGGTAGTTTTAAATGCAACATTTTAATCAACTTAACAATGTCACCAAACACACACAACTGTTTCTGTGCAGTTTTTCAAAAAGTGGACATTTTCTGTATTTCCCAGGGGAAAAAAATGTTAATGTGTGACACTGACAGAGAACGAAAGGGAAGAAAGGAAAGGAAGATCAAAGGTTATTTTCAAAAGTAATCATTGCTCAGGGTGTGACATTTTTTTCGGACTAGTAAGTTAAAATTTATGTGTAATTTTCTGATTCATTTTAGAGTGCTTTAATAAAATTTTGGATCTATAGGTGATGTGTTGCTAAATTATGTTTTTGTGAAATGTCTTGCAAAAACAAATTTAAGTCATTTAAATTTTAAGAATATACTGTTCAGGCTAGTGCAGGGTACACTAGTTAGTTTACAGTAATGCGGTGCGCTTGACTGGTTACAGCTAGTTGTGTTACCTACTAGTTGTGTGCTAGCAATGTTACCAGATTACATCAAAGGTAGCAGACATCAAGGTATAAACCTTTTATACTAGCTTTATTGTATCTAGTTAGGGGGTTGGAAATCGGCCATATAGCCTGTGTAACATCTGCTTAGATATTGTTGAATTCAGTTGGTTACATCATCAGACAGAGCAATGAATATTAGAGTAGAAACCCAGGTCAGCAGATCACAGGTTGTACACAAGGAAAAACCTACTGGAGCTTACAAAACAATGTCTTATGTGCCCTTTTTCTAAGTGATTCTTAAGACTAAGACCTGATCTTGGTGTTCCCCACCGGCCAAATCCCACTTTAACCCCTCATGACAAGGACTTTTAAACTTCCTAGCCTCATTAATATTAAGCGGAAGGGTTGACTTTGTCCTTTAAATCTTTGCAGTATGTTGTGTTAGATTTAGCTGTCATCCCACTGCAGTTTTTAACTGTGTACTATAAGATTATGTTAATTTATTATTGTGTAGTTAAGCTATGATGTGGGTTAATAAATAAATATGAATATAGTCAATAATAACCCTAAATTGTATAAATTTAATATGCTTTCACATTTTATTACTTATATATGAATATTTCACATGTGAAAAACGTGAATTTTCTTGCAGATATGGATAAAACTATCTGTATTCCTTTCAGTCACTTTTTAGCTTTCATGGTTAGCGAGTTAGCACACAGAATAACTGACTTAATCCAAGAGGACCTAAATATCACACATTAAAGTTTAAACTTAAAAAAAAAAAACCAGCAAGCAATGTTTAAACCATATATTGAAAAAAATCTTATACAGTCATTGATTTAAAAATAGTTAATATTTGCTAGCTAGTAGCTAATTAGCTTTAGCTTGATGTGCTGGAAATTTGTTCAGCAGCTAGTTTGAAACAGAGTAACTGTACAACTCAAAGGAACTGTTTAAACTCATTAACTTGATATGTAAACTTTGTAACCATGCTATACAATTTGCAGTTTAGTGTGCTATAAATAAATGTTTATTAATAGCAAAATATAAAATTAGCAGGCTACAATACGAGTAATTAACAGTTTCTGCTGTTAATAGTTTTACTTATTTAGCTAAGTAAAACTATTATTATTATTACTAATATTACTGTTATTATTATTATTATCATTATTATTATTATTACATATTGTCTGTTCAATGTAGCTTTTTCCAGCATATATGCTGTGTAAAAGTCTCAAGCCAACACTCATTTAAAAAAGAAAAAAAGAAAAGAAAATTGCCTCCAAGGAGTCAGATGTTCTAAGTTCTCCAGGCTTTATAAAGGGTTTAATAAAATATATATATATATATATTTTTAGAATTTTATAAAAAATAATTTTGACCACCTTTTTAGGTATTTAACACTAACCTATGATTTATTCAAGCATAAAAGAGGCACCTAAAGTCTAGGAGATTTATGGTGCAGAGTGCAAAGATGTCAGAATAAATTATGTTATTGTAAAAACCTATTTTTTTTGCCCTATATACTGTATCTGTTTTAATATTGTTACTGCAGCCCAAAAACTCTTGAGGCACTCCTCATATTAAGGATATCATTTAAACATAGGCATGAAATTAATATAGATATATGAGTGAATAAACAGGGAAAGGTGTCTTTTATGCTTCTGTTTTAGTTGTGCTTCTTACTTACTCGAAATGTTATCAGCTTATCGCTGTTTAGCCCTTTAGGGCAGAATTAATGTTAATACCCTTTACTGACATCCAAACTAAATGTGTTTGTTTACATTGCTGTGCAAACTAATCCTGCATTGGATGGGCACATATGCCATGTGAGGTAGCTGACTATACTATTAGCTGCAAAGTCTGCCAGTTTCCATGAGTCACATGTCATGTGTCAAGGCTTTGACAAATGCTGCTCATTGACCTTGCAGTGATGGCAGCATAACATGAGTAATGGTCCCATCTTGACATGAAGTCGCACTTACTGTAACATCAGATCCCTGCAGCTCTGTTGCCACGGGGATCTGTGATCACTGTGCAGGCTTGAAATCGCTCCAAACGAGTCAGCTGATACGTGGCTAATCTGTCACAATTAGGTTGGGGCCTTCACAGCTGGTTTTTAGGCCCAGGGATTAAATAATCACAGCAGGACAGGTGCATATCACCCTTATCCACAACTGTTTTTCTTGGGTTTATTTTGATTTCTCACGCATAATGTTAACATGCTGGTCTTAAGCTTAATAAGCATAGGCATAATTTATTTCTACTTTTGATTTCAATGTTTTTTAAGACCTAGAGGGGCAGGATATATGTCAGCAGCTTCTTCTTCTGTATTTATTGAAAACACAACAGATTTAGAAATTATTACATCTGCCTACCTTAGCCCTCCTTGTAGTAGTGAAACAGGAGAGACAAAACAAAGCTCAGTCCAGCCTTTGCCCAACCAAAACTCTGGGATTAGAGCAGTTTGGGAATAATTATTATTAAAGATTTTGCTCACACCTTTCCACTAAATCTACTTCTTTTGCCCTTTGTGACTGACTCAATGCTTTACACTCACTTTTTCAGGGGAGGGTTTCCAGTAAAAAACAAACACACCTACTGTCAGTTGCCGCCATGAATCAAAATCAGAGCAGATGAAGGCGTGCTGTGATATGACGTCTCAGATTGGATTTCAGAGGATTTGCTGTGATAAGTCCAGCATGAAGCTTGTTTATTTTTCGACAGCCTATGTCTGCAACATAGTATTTTAAGATCAGATGTGCTAAGAGGAACAGATTGTGAGACTGATGCACATGCTCTCACTGCATGTGTGAGAAAATATGAAAACAAAAACTCATGTCCAGCATCAACAGACTAGCTAAGATGTAACATTTCTTTTCCTCCACTAAGTAATGGAAACCAGCCAATAATTATATTCTGTATTAACACTGCAATGATATGTTGAATACATTAGCCTTAGCATGATATAAAAAACAACAAAAATAAATGAAGTGATACTAACATAATACTTGTGATACTGTTAGAAAGAATCCCATGTTTAAGTTTAAAAGAGAAAACTAAGTTGCAAACGAACAAACTTTTTATTTTTAATAAATATAAATCCAGTTATAGTCTATTGTAATTGTGTATATATAGTAAGTCTGTTACTTCGTACTGTAGTAAGTTCATGTGTGTAGTTCCCTTGACGTTTTTTTTTTCCTGGCTCAGATCACATAAATATGTGATTGTGAAGAGTGTGTAACTACAGGTGTTTTTTTCAGATGAGAGACACGGTACCCTCAGGCTGAGCAACCTCACTAAAAGCATGTCAGGGAAGTACATCTGTCGAGCCAGCAACACCGCCGGCTCCGACAGCTGCTCCATTAACCTGGAGGTTTTCACCTGTATGTACACAGCATGAACTCTGCTTTTATTGTCCTTCACCCCAGAGTATTTAAAAGTTTGTTTGGGAAATCACCACTGCATCTTTGTTACGTTTCTCAGCTTCCAACGCAGGTGTGATTGCAGCAGCTACTCTGGGGTCAGTGGTGGGACTGGTGGCCATGGTGCTGTTTCTCATATTCATACTGAGGAGGAGAGGAGACACAGAGGAGGAGATAGCCAATGAAATCAAGTGAGTTTCACTGTCTGTAGAGTGGGCACTTTGTCACATTAAATCCTCTTTTATGCCTCTACAACATCATAGTGACGCCATAGATGGCTTATTATATTCTAATAAAAACATCATTAAACAAATTCCTGATGAGTTTAATATGTTATTCCCTTGTTTTAGGACATGTTGAATAGTAAAATTATGTCAGTTTTGTAAATTTTGGTCATTCCATGTAATCCAAAAGGAGGATTATCCTGGATTTTCTCATTGGTTAATCACTTGTGATCAACAAGTCATTGGCCAATAAGCATCCAGTTTCCCTTCTCCAGTTTAAAAACACCAAATAAAGGTTAAAATGCTCATCTCAAGTCATCTCTTCAAACAGAAGTTTACCATTAAAAGGCTTATATCACCGGAGCTAAGGCTTTATACAGTCTATGTGTACATCATTTCTTGACAGCTGTCAGAAATGTGGAGTAGTGAGGTGTAATTCCTGTGTCCAAAAAATGATGATGATACAAATGGAAAGTGGAGTGTGTCGTCTCTGAGCACGACGTGACAGTAAAGTCATCCTATTCATCCTAAAGAGGCCATTTGGAGTTGAAGAGGGTAGATCCTGTTTTTTCTCATTATTTTGAGTCCAGTTGTTTGGAGCAGGGCTTTAAACTGACTTTTGCTCAGTGTGAAATGTGCAGTGTTGCACATCATCCAACCAGAACCCCTGCACTAAGATATGGTAAGCGCCATAATGTGTGCCCTCCACCTCACGGTGTAATGTACCCACAAATTTTCCAAAAAAACTAACAAGCCTTCTGCTTCTAAGAGTCCGTTCACAGTCATGCAAAGTAGTGATTCAGCAAGTATGTGTTATCTGTGTTTTCATGCTATCCTAGTTTTTGTGCATTTTTTAACATTTAACCTTTGTAACTGATACTGCGTAAGTAGAGCATCGTTTACACGAAACACTTTTAAAATCAGTAGTTTACAAGCACTTCATTGTTAGGAGATCATGTGAGTATAAAACACTCAATGTGTTTTGTTGACAGTATTGCAGCTGCAGTGTCCGTTATCGTTTTACTTGAAGCAGTTCACTTGTGTTTTGTTTACTGTCTCCTTTTTAATGATTTTTCTTTCACCCTCTTTCCTTGCTTTTTACCGCAGGGAGGACGCTCAGGCACCAAAGCGAGTGTCATGGGCAAAGAGCAACACAGGCTCAGATGGTATGTCCAAGAATGGCACCTTGTCCTCCATAGCCACCAGCCCTCAACCACGAGACCCCCATCAGCCCAACTTCCACTATCCGTACTCCCCGATATCAGCTTCAGACGCGAGCTCAGTGATCAACGCCTACCAGCTGCGCCCTGGAGAAGCCAATACCTTACAAGGGCTTCCTGGCTACAACATCGGAGGCACGCCGTCGCGTAAACACAGGCGGCCTCCGAGTACAAACGGGGCTCCTTCGCAGGTTCTCAGGAGCCCTGCGGTCACCAACCCCAAAAGAACTGAGGGGGCGCAGCCTCAGATGGCACCTCCACTCACTGTGTCCCCACAAGTTAGTTCCTCCACTCTGACACGCATGGGAGCTGTTGCTGTCATGGTGCCTGCTCAAAGCCAGGCTGGATCACTGGTGTAACGGCGTGGGAAGCAAAGGACAGAGAATCCCTCGCAGTGAAGCGCCCTTTCTCTGTGAAGGCCTGATAGGTTGAGAGAGAAGGAAAAACACGTGCTTCACTGGAACAAACTCTTCCTTCGGTTTGTTGACGAACCAGTGCAGCGTTCTTCATTTCAATTTTCTTTTAAATGCTGCGATCAGGCTCATTAAAGAGAAATATATTTTTATTTCCATGCTTAGAAAGAAAAGACGTGTTGATTTTACGTAGCAGCATACAGTGATATTGTAAACCGTAGCAAGCAGGATGGTTTACTCGCGATTGTCGTGCAATGTTTTGGCTACATTTCTATGATTTCTACAACTTCATTGTAAAGAGATTTTTCTAATTTCATTTTTATGTTATTTTACCTGGATGTGTACAGTTCACTTTTCTCAGGCTAACTGCACTTGTTCAGAGCAAAAACACACAATTCAGACACTGAAAATAGTTTCTAGAGTTTCACATTTCTGGCCCACATTCATGTTCACATCAGGAAACAGTTTCAGTGTGGGTTGAAGACTGATAAGGACTCAAAACTTGATGAGTTTGCTTGTTATGGTAGCTGGAATGTAACCAAAGTAGTGAGTATAAGTGTTAAAGGCGATGGTTTCTGACTATTTTGCTTAAAATTGCTGAGTATAACAAGATTACTGCAAAAATATGGCAGAGCCAGTAGCGGAGACCGCTCAAGAAAGCGTCCATCCTCGATATCTGACCAATGTTTTCTGCTTGTTTGTTTTCATGATTTCAATTACACTGAACTCTGGAGATAACGTTGCAATGATGTTCTAATGTTGAAATGCTACATGTAGCACTTTTAATGCAGTTCTGACTGTTGATGGAATTTTGTTTTTCAATAAAATGTTCTGCAATATTTGACTAAATATTGATCAGTTCCATATTTAATGCAAACAATAACCTAAAGGTGCTAAATTGCAAATGAAGTCAATTTAAGAAAGCTTTATTTGGAGTGTAACATTTCATTATATAACCTTCACAGCACCTGTGACATATTTCTGTAATTCTGCAAAAAGCAAAGAAAAGGATGAAATACAGTAAAATTGCAATAACTATGAATATACATAAGGATTGAAAGACCACTTTAGGGACAGTGATGCTGGGATTTTATGAACTGTTACTTTTTCTTATTACTTTTTCCTCTGTCATCTCTCCGTCGCTGGTGGATGAGTTTAATTACCTGGGGTAAACCCTTCAAAGCAACAGACGGAGTGCCAGCAGGGTGGAGCAGTTGGAGACGAGTGTCAAGGGTGATTTGTGACAGAAGGATTGAAAAAACTACACTGAAGTTGGTTGTGCTAACTTACATTACATCTGATGTGGTGTCCACATTCAAACATGGGGTCTAAAGGGTTTATTTATGACAATGATGATGATTTGCGAGGGTTATTAGATGGAGGGTGGGTGGATGAACATACATTCAAGTGAGGGCAGCACCAGTCATACTGTAACAAACCAGATATGAAGACCATAACAACATGGTCAGTTTAAATCCAGAGGACGAGCTTTATCACGACTCCGACAGCAGATTTCGGGAAATGATCATCCTCATCACTTCATTGGTTCCTTTAAGGGAAACAAAAGCAGGAAACAGCTGGTGAAAAACAGCATCACAGTCGCCTTACATGAAACCAAAGGAGCCACACTAAAATATGACAAAAGACAAACAAAAAGGCTAAAGAGAGAGAGAAAAAAAAACCTCACCTTCTAGGATCTGGTGGACTCTGATGTCCCGGACAAACTGCTGCACTGCGTAGTCTTTAAGGTAACCGTACCCACCGTGCATCTGAAGAGCCTGGTTGCAGATCTGTTGAATACAAGCAGGAAAAAACATAAAAGATCATTTAATATAGTTAATTTCATGCTTTTTAGCCAAATACTGTTAATCTTCCTTAGCACTGCTCACATTAAAGCACTCGTCTGTGGCAAAGAGCTTGGCCATGGAGCAGATGGCAACAGCATCGGGGCGGTCCTCCTGCAACGCCTGCGCTGCTTCACGTATCAAAAGGCGAGACGCAACCAACTTGGTGGCCATTTCTGCCAGTTTGAACTGAAGAAACTACCATATGAAAAGAGGGGAGGGGGGGGTGAATAACAGTGGCAGGACAAGTATTCTGTTTCACTGAGTTTTCACTAAATAAACTGAAAACAGGGGGAACCTGCTTACCTGGTTGTTTGAGAGTGTTTCTCCAAACTGCTTGCGCACTAACAGGTGATCCCTCGCCAGCTGCACAGAAGCATGTGCCGCCCCAAGAGAACAGGAAGCTGGCGGCAGAGTGTTTAGAGGAAAACCGGTGAGTAAGTTGTTTAGGTTTGTTTTAAACGCCTTCATGTCAATGCCACATACTGTGTGACCACAAATACTGACGGTTTGAGCTGAGTTATTACTGAGCAAACCACTGCTACTGGTCATAACCAAGGGCATGCTCATTTATAAAAGTGTGTTAATCCAAATTTACTGAAACCAATCGTCATGCCTTAACCAACTCAAGGTTTCTTTAAAAGCACGCTGCACGCAATTTATGCACAAATCTGTTTCCCCCGAAGCTCGTTGAAGCCCAATTATGATGCTGATTACATACTGTTACTTCTAGCTTTAAAAAAATATAGATTTACATTGGATTGTAAGTATAAAAGACACACAGTTTTTGGATGCTTGGCTACTTGGGTGGTGTTTTCCTCCTTACCAATGTTAATCCTGCCTCCATTCAGGCCTTTCATTGCGATGTTGAAGCCCTGTCCTTCCTCACCGAGCCGGTTCGCCACTGGAACCGCACAGTCCTCAAATATCACGGCCCTGGTCGGCTGACAGTTCCAGCCCACCTGGAGGACAGATTG